TGTGGCCGGGGATTTTAACAGTGCCAACCTGAGGAAGGTTCACCAGCACATTGCCTTCCCCACCAGAGGAGATAGAACTTTGGACCACTGTTATTCTCCCTTGAGAGACAGCTATACAGCAAAGACTCAACCACCATTTGGCAGGTCAGACCACGCCTCCATTCTCCTTCTGCCCAGGTACAAGCAAGGTGACGTGGACAGCCCCGTTGAAGAGAGAAGTGTCGTGTTGGTCTGACCAATCAGAGGTCGCTCTGCAGAACGCCTTGGAGACAGTGAACTGGCACTGGTTTCCAACACAACTCCGATGATGACGTCAGTTTGTTTACGGAGGAGGTTGTGGGATTAATTTGAAAACTACTGGAGGACACTGTCCCCAAAAGAACCATCAGGGAGTTTCCCAATCAGAAGCGATGGATGAACAAAGGCATCTGTGACATTTTGAAGTCCTGCACCGCCGCCTACAACACAGGACTCGCTACAGGAGACATGGGACTGTACCGGGCCGCTACGTACAGCGTCTGCAGAGCCATGAGGGAGGCCAAGCAGAGGTACGGGGAGAAGCTGGAGTCACAGCTGCAGCAGAGGAACATCAGGGGACTGTGGCAGGGACTGAGAACAATGAAGGACTACAGAGCAACACTGGTGCCCACGGTGAGTGCTGACATCTCTCTGGCCAACGAACTCAACAACTTTTATGCGCGCTTTGAGGCTCCCAGCCGACAGGCGCACATCCTGCCCGGCAGAGAGAAGGAGACACGCACCGTGACAGAGCATGATGTGAGGTGGATGTTTCAACGCATGAATACCAGGAAAGCTGCAGGACCTGACGGTATAACAGGCTGTGTCCTGTTTATGGAAATATTCAACCTCTCGCTCTCCAAGTGCGTCATCCCCAGGTGCTTTAAACAGTCTGTCATTGTTCCTGTTCCCAAGAAAGCCAAGCCCAGCTGTCTTACTACCGGCCCATTGCCCTTACCTCTGTAGCGATAAAATGTTTTGAAAGACTGGTCAGAAATTTCATCACCTCCTCCCTACCTGCCTCCCTTTACCCCCTACAGTTTGCATATCGGCCAAACAGATCCACAGACGACACCATCATAAATCACCTGCTACACAGAGCCCTGGTCCACCTGGACACTAGGAATGGGAATTATGTGTGAATGCTGTTCGTGGACTTCAGTTCAGCGTTCAACACCATAATCCCCTTCAGACTGGTCACTAAGCTGCAGGACCTCGGACTCACTTCCTCCCTGTACAGGTGGGTCCACAGCTTTTTGACCAGCAGACCACAGGTGGCTAGAGTGGGAAATCACCTGTCCCCCTCACGCACCCTGAACATCGATGACCCCCAGGGCTGTCTGCTGAGCCCTCTGCTGTACTCACTGTACACCAATGACTGTCTGTCCACATCAGACTCTAACACCATCATTAAGTTTGCTGATGACACAGCAGTGGTGGGTCTGACCTCCAACAACAACAAGGAGGACTATTTAATGGAGATCACCCACGTGAAGGACTGGTGCAGAGACAACAGCCTCCTCCTGAATGTCAGCAAGACTAAAGAGCTGATTGTGGACTACAGCAAGAAGCAATAGAGAGCATACCAACCACTCAGGATCAGCGGGACAGAGGTGGAGTGAGTGGAGAGTTTCAAATACCTGGATGTTAACATCACACAGGACCTGATGTGGTCCTGTCCATAGACTGTATAAAAGATGGACGTAGCTTCCGTGACGTCACCCGTTGGTTTCTGCACTGACAAAATGAAGCCAGGGTTTTGCTACTTCCTGGCTGACATCTTGGATTTTTGGAGCCAGTGACGCAAAAATCGTCGGAGGGGGGCGGAACCATAGGAGCAGCGATTGGTCAGACGGATTGAGAGGCAGGCCCTCTCTGCCCGCCCACATTTACCGCCTTCTGCTCGCTTCGTCTGCATCATCGCTGCCGACTGTCAATCAAGCCAGCCACGCCCCTTGTCCCGCAAAATGTTGATGATTTTTTTTAAAAATTCAGTATTGATTTATTTTCAGATTGGCCACCTGATCTCTGGACTTGACCATGAAAACACTAATTTTCAAAAAATCCTGAGCTGGAGGAATGCAGTATTTCATGATCTGTGATCACTTCTTTTCCAATTCATTTCTATGGGAGCCAGGGCTTTTTGCAGCCAGGACTAGCGGACGTTGTGATATTGCAGGTTTTTGACATTTCCAGGTTGGCTTCATTTTTCGGGGCCGGTTGCTACGTCCATCTTTTATACAGTCTATGGTCCTGTCACATCAACACCCCGGTGAAGAAAGTTCAACAGCGTCTCTACCTCCTCCGACACCTGAGGGACTTTAAGCTCCCTCTTAAGGTGCTCAGGAACTTTTACACCAGCACCATTGAGAGTCTTTTGCTGCCCACCCAGGTGGTGGGAGTATCACCACCTGGGTGGGCAGCAGCACCCAGCAGGACTTTTTGGCCCTGAGGAGGGTGGTCCGCTTGGCTGAGCGCACCATCAGAACCACCCTCCCCAACCTGCAGGACATTTACCACAAATGATGCAGGTTAAAGGCTAGGAAGATTGTGAGTGAGCCCACCCACCCCAGCCACAGACTGTTCTCTCTGCTGCCGTCAGGGCAGCGTTACTGCTGCCTGAAGGCAAACACAGAGAGGATGAAGAGGAGCTTCTTCCCTCAGGCTGTCCACCTGCCGAACCTGAAACAACAGAAAGCATCTGGTGGCCCCATGGGGTTCAGTCGGGCCCAGCCTGAAACAAGCAGCATGGGGTCATTGCCCAGAGGGCCAACCACCCATGGGGCAGTAAACTGGGTCAGGTGCTATGCCAACCGGGCGGTAGGCAGCGGCTGGCATCTGGTCACCCTGCACCCTGGTGGCATAGACTAGTTGTAGGGACGTGGAATGTCACTTCACTGGTGGGGAAGTAACCTGAGTTGGTGCGGGAGGTGGAGCAATAATGACTAGAAGGGTTCCATAACCAAATTCCTAAAGTGGGGTTGGACTCTCTCCTTTTCTGGAGTTGCTTAGGGTGACAGGGGATACTCACATGCCTCCTGCTTGACTTCTGTTGGAGTTCTCCCCGTACAACGAGAGGGTTGCCTCTCTGTGACTGCATGTTGCTGAGGGGAAAACTCTGACTGTTGTTCGTGCGTATGCACCAAACAGCAGTTCAGGGTATTCGGCCTTTGTGGAGTCTCTGGGTGGTGTTCTGGAAGGGGTGCCGCCTGGGAACTCCATAGTTCTCCTGGCAGATTTCAATGCTCACGTGGGCAACGACGGAGAAACCTGGAGGGGAGTGATTGGGAGGAATGGCTTGCCCAATTTGAACCCGAGCGGAGTTTTGCTTTGTTGGACTTCTGGGCTAGTCACAGACTGGCAATAAGAAACACCATGTTTCAACATAAGGTTGCTCATAAGTGTACCTGGTCCCAGAGCAGCCTAGGACGGGGGGTTTTCAACTCCCACCTCCGGAAGAATTTCTCCTGCATCCTGGGGAAGGTCGCACTGTCATGGCTGGCACGTCTCTTCAGTGTCATGTGGGCATCGGGTACGGTGCCTGTGGAGTGGCAGACGGGGATGGTGGTTCCCATTTTCAAAAAGGGGGACCAGAGAGTGTGTGCCAACTACCGGGGTATCACACTTCTCAGCCTCCCCAGGAAAGTTTACTCTAGGTGCTGGAAAGAAGGCACTGACCGACTGGCGAATCTCGGATTCAGGAGAAGCAATGCGGATTCTGTCCTGGTTGTGGAACAGTGGACCAGCGCTTTTCCCCTGCAGAGCTGCCAGCCAGTCCACATGTGTTTGGTGGATCTGGAGAAGGCCTATGACCATGTCCCCCGAGGTGCTCTGTTGTGGGCGGGTACTGAGAGAGTATGGGGTACCAGGCTTGCTGATACGAGCCACTCGGTCCCCGTACAACCAAACTGAGAGCTGTGTCTGCATTCTTGGCATAAAGTCAGACATATTTCCAGTGGGTGTTGGGTGCTGCCCCTTTCCTTTGATCTTCTTTGTGGTCCTCATAGACAGGTTTCAAGGTGCAGCTGAGGTGAGGAGGGTATCTGGTTTGGGGAACTCAGGATCGCGTCTCTGCTTTTTGCAGATGATGATGATGATGTGGTACTGATGGCTTCATCAGACCGTGACTTTCTGCACGCACTGGAGTGGTTTGGCCATGGTTCTCTGCTGGAAACCGGTGGATTGCTCCATCTGGGTCTTGTTCATGAGTGATGGGAAAATGGAGTGTGCGGTAGACAGGTGGCTGGGCGCGCCGTCAGCAGTAATGCGGGCGCTGTACCAGACCATCATGGTGAAAAGGGACCTAAGCCGCAAGGCTGCAGTTCATCTACGTTCCTACCCTCACCTATGGTCATGAGCTCTGGATAGTGATGGAAAAAACAAGATCACAGATACAAGCGGCTGAAATGAGCTTCCTTCCCAGGGTGGCTGGGCTCAGCCTTAAAGATAAGGTGAGAAGCTTGGAAATCCAGAGGGAGCTTGGAGTAGAGCCGCTGCTCCTTCATGTCTAAAGGAGCTGGTTAAGGTGATTTGGTCATCCTTTTTGGATGGCTCCGGGGAGGGTTCCTTTGGAGGTTTTCCGAGCACGTCCGCCTGGGAGGAGACCCTGCGGCAGACCAGAACCCGCTGGAGGGGTAATGTTTCTCAGCTGGCCTTGAAACCCAGGAAGAACTGAAAAGTGTTGCCGGGAGGAGGGAAATCTGGAATGACCTGCTCTGCCTGCTGCCTCCGCGACCTGACCCCGGACAAGTGGAAGAAAATGGATTGAATTTCCAAAAGCCAGTGTGTCAAAAGTTTTCTTATTCGAAACAGTGTAAAAAGTCTGATAGCTGACCATCATCCCCAGTGTAACTGGCATTATAATTAGACAACGATAACAAAAGGTAACCCATTTCTTCATATATATATATATATATATATATATATATATGTGTGTGTGTGTGTGTGTGTGTGTGTATGTGTGTGTGGTATGCAAACCTTACCTTGAGAATACATCATCTAGTCCATCCTCCACATCCTGACGAGACACAACATTATGAATAAATACACTCAATAAATGCTTTAAAGTATAATGCTGACCCTTCTGTACTTTCAAGCCACAAGGTATCAACACTGAGGCTGCTGTTGGTCATAACTTGTTTTATTCAAATGACACACAAAAAATTTGTCCACTAACAGTGTAAAATCAAACCCTGAAATAGGATCTTCCTGTTTCAGTTACTATAACTGTATCACAATCAATATTCATACTAATAAAAATAATCTGATGAACAGCATCTCCTCACTGACATTTTTTTAAAAAAATACTACAATTTCACCTTTTATATGGCAGACTAAATTATTATTTGCACAATTACCACAACTTCAAGATATGAATGTATAAAAGGTAAATCTGGACTAGCAGATGATATCTGACAAGGTGAAAACACAATTTCTCCCACTAAAAAGGAAAATCCTATAAAGTAAAATTAAGTAACAATGAATACAATGGCATACCACCTCATCAATTTGTAGGATAGACATTCTAATGAATCAGTGACATCTAGTGTTGAACACATGTAAACACCAGAACACCAGAAAGGTGACCGATAAACTTTTGCAGCAATAAATACATTTCGTGAAATTATCTCAAATCCTTTGATAATTAGAAAACATTCACTTAAAAATTATTTGCTAGCTGTTAACCTCTACTAACCAGAGCATAATGAAAGCCAGAAGAAGTTAGATCTTTTTGTGAAAGGCTTACTGCAGAGCATTATTAGCTCAAATATTAACTTTGTTAAACAGATATTAGCAGTGGTGCTTTAAATCAGAGTTAACTGCCAATTCTTTCCCAGTTTTATTATATAAAATATATGTATATATATATATAAAATATATGTTTTTTTCAAAATTAACTATTATCACTGTCAGTTCAATCAACAGCTTAAAAATTGAGTGTGCAACCTACCCAAGAGTCATGTTTGATTGGTCGCCTTTGAGTGATGTTACTATAAGGTGAAGATGAGCTGAGTGACACAGAGAAGAGGGGCCTGCGGAGTTTCTCCTCCATCCCAATTGGCTTATGTTCCTCTGGACCTGTGGAAGATGGCAGGTGCAGATAAGAGACTGACAAGGAATAGAGTAAAAGAGCAGAGAGTAAGAAACATACACACGTGGACAAAATTGTTGGTGCCTCTCGGTTAATGAAAGAAAAACCCACAATGGTCACAGAAATAACTTGAATCTGACTAAAGTAATAAATAAAAATTCTATGAAAATTAAGCAATGAAAATCAGACATTGCTTTTGAACCGTGGTTCAACAGAATTATTTCTAAAAATAAACTCATGAAACAGGCCTGGACAAAAATGATGGTACCCCTAGAAAAGACTGAAAATAATGTGACCATAGGGACATGTTCAATCAAGGTGTGTCCTCTAATCAGCATCACAGGTGACTACAAACTTCTAATCAGTCAGCCGGCCTATTTATAGGATTCCAAGTAGTCACTGTGCTTTTTGGTGACATGGTGTGTACCACACGAAACATAGACCAGAGGAAGCCAAGGAGAGAGTTGTCTCAGGAGATTAGAAAGAAAACTATAGACAAGCATGTTAAAGGTAAAGGCTATAAGACCATCTCCAAGCAGCTTGATGTTCCTGTGACTACAGTTGCACATATTATTCAGAAATTTAAGATCCATGCGACTGTAGCCAACCTCCCTGGATGTAGCTGCAGGAGGAAAATTGATGACAAATGGAAGAGACGGATAATACGAATGGTAACAAAAGAGCCCAGAACAACCTCTAAAGACATTAAAGGTGAACTCCAAGGTCAAGGTACATCAGTGTCAGATCGCACCATGCGTCGTTGTTTGAGCCAAAGTGGACTTCATGGGAGAGGACCAAGGAGGACACCATTGTTGAAAACAAACCATAAAAAAGCCAGACTGGAATTTGCCAAACTGCATGTTGACAAGCCACAAAGCTTCTGGGAGAATGTCCTATGGACAGATGAGACAAAACTGGAACTTTTTGGCAAGGCACATCAGCTCTATGTTCACAGACGCAAAAAGGAAGCATATCAAGAAAAGAACACTGTCCCTACTGTGAAACATGGAGGAGGCTCTGTTATGTTCTGGGGCTGTTTTGCTGCATCTGCCGTGTCTTGAATGTATGCAGGGTACTATGAAATCTCAAGACTATCAAGGTATTCTAGACAGAAATGTGCTGCCCAGTGTCAGAAAGCTTGGTCTCAGTCGCAGGTCATTAGTCTTGCAACAGGATAATGACCCAAAACACACAGCTAAAAACACCCAAGAATGGCTAAGAGGAAACATTGGACTATTCTGAAGTGGCCTTCTATGAGCCCTGATCTAAATCCTATTGAACATCTGTGGAAGGAGCTGAAACATGATGTCTGGAGAAGGCCCCCTTCCAACCTGAGACAACTGGAGCAGTCTGCTCATGATGAGTGGACCAGAATACCTGCTGAGAGGTGCAGAGGTCTCATTGACAGTTAGAGAAATCGTTGCAGTGATTGCCTCAAAAAGTTGTGAAAGAAAATATTAAGTTAAGGGTACCATCATTTTTGTCCAGGCCTGGAAAAAAATATAAAAAAATCTCTAAAATTGTTCTGTCTCATTATTCTAGCTTTTAGCAAATAGAATTAATTTTGGTAATCTTAACTGACCTAAAACAGGAAAAGTTTAGTCTGATTTAATGTCAGACAGTGAGAAAAAGATCATGAGTCTTTTTATACAGTGTATGTAAACTTCTGGTTTCAACTGTAGGTGCAACAAAAGGCAAGACAGAGGGAAACAGATGTAAGGTAAAGGATAGAACACAGAACAGAAGAGAGAGGAGGAGAGGCTAATCATCTTTCCTCTTAGGAATTCTGTCAGTCTGCAGAACAAATACAAAACATCATCTCATGCCCATGTCAATCACACACTTCTCTGTAACAGGAGGAATTTAAACCATCTCTGTAAAACTGTCATGTACATTTCTGTGTTGTGTTACTTCAGAGGTCCTTAAGGCTTTCCCCACTCTGGTTTCTCTATGCTCTCAGGCCACTACCACTGGGAGTGGAGGAAATAATTTTAAAGAATATTGAAAATAACTTAACAACAACATAACTGTAGGATAAGGTCTCATTTCACAGATCCTTTGACCCTATGAGAAACAGAAAACATTCTGACCTATAAATCCAAACCTATGTTTGTCATGGCCATAGGAAAATATTTAAAATCCGGTGTTCCCCTGAGTGTCTGATAAAGTGGTATAAAATGAAGTCATTTTTCCTAAGTGTATGTGAGATGTGACGATGCAGTTAAATTTGTGTGCCAGCAGGTACAATGTCCTAACACAAAACTAGTCTCATTCTCGTGGACACGTTATAACTGGAAAGATAACTGAAAATTAACATACAACTGATGAATGAAACCAGGCCTTCTAGTCTGGACGAATGTGCTTCTGTGAACATGTAAGAACTCTGTTAAAATCTGCATTTAATGATTACACACCGACCTATTTGGATGCCCACCTGTATCAGTCCATTGATAAAATCCAAAGAAAATCTGTAGGATCTATAGATGTTAGATATCAATACTTTATTTTAAAAAAATAACAAAATGCTATGCTCAACTGCATTGTTTTACCAGCCAGAATATGCACGCTAGACAATCTATATGTGAGACATCAGGGTTGCAGTTTCTGGTGTGTTTGATTCGAAGGAATCAAAAGAAAATTGATTTGCCACAGATAATGTCTGCACATTTCAATTCCAACGCTCTGGCAAATGTGATAAGTGCTGAAGTAATGCTTTAATACTTCATCGCACATCACAATGTGTCGATGACTGTAGTGGGTGACCTGACTGATACATTTGCAATATTTTTTGTATTATTCATTTAATTATATACCTTTTACAAGAATAAATTATAAATACCTGCCTTAAAAAAACACTTAATCTACCTGTGTACTTCTGTTCCCTCAATTGAAAATTGTGCTAAAATTCTCACAGTTAAACTGAGTGTGATAAAGATTTACCCTAGCTGTCTAGTTGTAATCGAAAATCTTGAAGGATTGTTCTTATAACCCTTATGCTCAGTGTTTTATGGTGCAACCTTTTCCTAACAGAATCGTGTCTGTTGTTGTTGCCAGTCCAGTGTGATATACAGACACACACTATGGATGAGGATACGATAAAATCAACTGACCTGCTGGGACACACTGAGTGTCTGCTGTCTCTGTCTGTCCATCACTTGCTGCACAGGAACAGCAGGTCCTGGACTTCCTGCTTTTGTCTGTGAACACAGAAAATATTAACAAAACCAAACCTGAGAGATACCCTAGGATTAACTCATTTTTATGTTATGCTCATTTTAATTAGCATTTATGTTTGGTTCTTTTTCATGATGAGGCATTTCAAGGTGCAGGAAGTGTAGCGCTGTACATTATTAAACACTGTTCAACAGTGTGAAGGTTGGAATGTTATTTGGCTTGAAAACCAATAGAATTTCACTTGTGCACCAGATGGATTTCTGATTTTTCTACTCGTATTATGTCTAAAAACAAAACAAAACAGAAAAAACCTTGAGGAACACAGTTAACAGAAATAGGCCAAAGTCACTTCTTCTTTGTTTGGGAAACTTACCTTCCTGAGCAATTTCCCAAAGATCTAGGGCTACTTTGAAAGCCTGGGCTACTGTTAATGTAACAGCCTGAGCCTGAAGGGGGGAGGAAAAAAAAGAACAGTAAGTCTGGAGCCTATCCCAGCTGACTGAGGGTGAAGGCAGGCACCCTGGACAGGTCACCAGTCTATCACAGGGCTACACTTAGAGACAGACAACCAAGCACACTCACATTTACACCTACAGGCAATTTAGAATCACCAATTAACCTCAGCATGTTTTTGGACTGCGGGAGAAAATCGGAGAACCTGGTGAGAACCCACGCTGCACAGGGAGAATGTGCAAACTCCACGCAGAAAGACCGCAGGTTGAGATTTCAACCTAGGATTCAGCTGTAAAGTGACAGTATGAACCACTACATAACCATGCTGCCCTTAAGTACAGCTTATTATACATAAATCTAACAGCATGTATTCAATACCAAAAAAAGATGTATATAGGTGTATACAGTAAAATTGCAGAAAAGTGTAGCAAACTCACAATTTTCCTCTTATGGCAGAGAAACGCATGGCACTCAAGCCTTTCATTGAACTGACACTGAGAAACATAGGCAAAGACCTTATCCTGAGTTTTATCTGCTGTGCAGTACGAAATTCTGGAAGAGACAGAAGAAGAAAACAGGAAAAATAAATTTTATCCTAGTTCAGCAACTCAACAATTCACCTGATATAATCCATTTACAATGAAAACTGAACAACTGCAGCAGACAGAAACCAGTTTGTTACAATAATGTCTTAAGGCAAGTATAACCTTTAACGTGTCTCACTTACAGAACAAAGGACATGTACATAACATTAGCTGTTAGCCTGTGTTGTAAATCATACATACAATCTTACATCAAGGCAAGCTATACTGCAGACAAGTCAATTTATGTTATAACGTTGCCTGTATGTGCTGAATCTTTTGTATATGTATAAGCACAATAAGCTGAGAGTGGTGGATATTAATATTATGCTGATTAATTCCCATAGCTAGAAAATGTGGAGCAGAAGATAAATGAGCAGGAGTAACATCCATAAGAGATACCTGAACTGTAGGTCCTTCATATTTTGGATAAAGCTTGTGTAATATGTAAAACACAAATGTGACCAATCTGTATGAAATCAGTCACATTGAGCCGTGGGTACATCCGAGATACACCCCAAATTATGTCAACACATTATATAATACTGATTTTGGGTTTATTACATAGATCAGTCCATTTAGTTGCTTTCTACATATAGGTAACATATAATATCACATAGCGTAATAATATTATATTTGGGCCACAATTTCATAGAGTTGAGCAGAGTAAAAGCTGAAAGAGTTGATCTATCTTAGGCCTCGGTCACAACCAGCCGTAAGCCTGTCTGCGTCCAAAATACATGCAAAATGGTACGTGTCACATAAGTCCTTCTTGCAAAATTTTGAGGTCGCAGACAGCCCGTAAGCACGTAGGGAGGATCTTTGACATGTCAAAAAGATTCTAGGAATTCTCTGCGAACAGCGACGCAGCAAGAGTAACTTGTTCCCCGAGTGAGACGTGCAAATTTTTAAGGCACAGTGGGAAGAAAATCCGTGGTCTAAGACACTCGTCACACGCAATGAGGGAGCAAGTGCCCCGTGTGTGTTAAGCATGGTGCACACACTCACAACTCATGAACAAAATCGAATGCAATCGGGCGCGCGTCACCCCATGCCCTGAGTATAAAAGGCGCGTTCACAGCGCACATTGGTGTTTCGCCAGTGATCGTCAATTGCATTGTTGCTTCAAACAAACAACGGATATATCATATATGTCATATATGTCAGTTTTTTACTGCTTTAAGTAAATCTACCTTTGCAAACGAGTTCATTTTAATATCTGAAGCAGCGGCAGGATTTTCTACAAATCCATGTGAGAAGATTAGAGACAAGAGCAGTAGCGTAACAAAGTCAGATTATTAAACTGAATTAATCTAATAGAATAAAACAAACATTAAAAAGGAAGTCATTTTGTCTTTGACTATGTTATTTCAAAAGCCTTTTTATACAGATGTGCAGTTCAAGACCCTGGACAGCACAGCGCTACCTGGTGAGGCTGCATGTCTCAGCGCAAGGGTCGTTTCTTCTGTCACTGCCTCAGTATGAATGGATGAAAACACCGCATCTCACACTCATTATTCATCATCAATGGCACAGCGGCCAAATGTTTTCACACTCACAGAATACAAGCAGCATTTTCTTACATTTCAGACACACACACACAGCACGACTGATGGCTTTATCGCTGATGCGCAGATCTCACATATATATATTGGGACAAAACGTGTTTTTAAGAGGTAGTCAGTAGCGAATATAGATATATATATATGTGTGTGTGTGTGTGTGTGTGTGTGTGTGTATAGGCGAGCGAGCTGTCACCACACCGCCAAGTTGTCAGGATCTGTGTGTCATGTCTGTCAAGTCTCTGTCCATGTGTGCACATTTTATGTCTCGTCTTTCCTGTTTCATTTTGAAGTCACTAATCGGTTGTCTTTGTCTTAGCTTTACTTCCTGCACCTGTCTTGTCACACCTGCTCCCTGATGGCTTTCCCTCACCTGTTTCCATTCTCCCCTCATTATCTCGTGTATATTACCTTTTGTGTCTCACAGTCTCGTTGCCAGTTTGTTGTACTTCACGGTCTTCGTCCCAGCGTTTTCTAGTGATAGTCAAGTCACAGTCAAGTCTGTTTGTTCATGACCTTGTTTCTGCTTTTTGGACCTTGCCTTTTTGCCTACCGTTTGTCTGGATAGCTCTGCCTGTCTGACTGACCTCTTGTATACCGAACCCTGTCTGATATTAAACCTGTCTTTTGCCTGAACCTATCTGTGTCGAGCATATGTGTCACCTGTCTGTCATCAGTGAGTTCATGACACTGTGTGTGTGCTACACAAAACATCCATCCATCCATTTTCTATACACCGCTTAATCCTCATTAGGGTCGCGGGGGGGCTGGAGCCTATCCCAGCCGACTTAGGGCGAAGGCAGGGGACACCCTGGACAGGTTGCCAGTCTATCACAGGGCTACACTTACAGACAGACAACCAAGCACACTCACAGTCACACCTACAGACAATTTAGAATCACCAATCAACCTCAACATGTTTTTGGACTGTGTGGGAGGAAGCCGGAGAACCCGGAGAGAACCCACGCTGCACGGGGAGAACATGCAAACTCCACGCAGAAAGATTCTGGTGCCCCCACCGGGACGCGAACCGGCAACCTTCTTGTGCGAGGCAACAGTGCTACCAACTGCGCCACCTTGCAGCCCCACAAAACATGAAATCATATTTATTTCCATCACCATTTGTTTAAGTAAAGTTTTAACTTTTGTCCTGAAATCAGTTTGTATCCTTCCGGATCTATTTTATTTATTTTCTTTATTGGCCCGTGATGACGGGACGTCCTGAAGCTCAAACCCTGTCAGTATGTTAACAGAATTTACAAGACAGCCTATCACCTGATCGCCGAAGTGTCTGTTTTTGTTTTTGTTTTTTGAAAATCACGCCAAACTGATGTACGCTGTCAGTACATCATCAGGAGCACGTGAGGCAGGTGTGACTGACTTTCCCCGTGCGTTGCATTCTCTTCATAAGTGGTGAGTGTGTGCCATGGACGTAGGTCGAACTCTTGAAGCACAATTTCCATCGCAATTGCACATTGCAATTGAACGGAATCTCACGTGTGGCAGGCTTGCTCCTCTCTTACGCATTTCTGACGGAGCCCTTGCAACCTTTCCTCTACGTCTACGACCTCCACAACCTCCAAGAGACCCAACATTTGCAGAGAACGCACAATCCCAAAAGTTGTGCGTCCGGTTGTGACTGAGGCCTAAGATTAGACAACAAACCTGATGTAACCTAAGTACTGCACCTGCTCAGTTTGAGCTCAGTAATCATCATATTGACAAATATTTATATATATATATTTATAATATTTTACAATATTTTGCATAACAACAATTTCTCTAATTTCACTGAACTAGTATTATTGAAGCCTCTGCACATTTGTTTTTCAACAAAATGTACACTGCATAAATAACTACTATTCAAATTATCATTAAAATGAAAATATACAATTACACAACCTTGCATAAGCAGTACTGTCAATGAAATTCAAATTAGCAGCTGTTAAAATGATAAAGTTGTGCGCTTAAAAAAAGATTAAATCAATGCTTTGGGTTTTCAATGAATATGTAAGGGAAGAAAATTTACATTGAAAAAATGTACAAGATTGGAAAAAAATAGCTCATTTGATCAGGACATTTAAGCTGAAATTCTGATGCCAAGTATTTCAAATGCCTTTTAACAAGAAAATATTTTTTACAATATGCTTTTAAATGTTCCCAAACATTATGCTGTAAGCAAAATGAGCAAATAGTTCACTGCACATACAATAAATGCCTCAAAAGGTTGTGCAACAAAATATTAAGGGTACCATCATTTTTGTCCAGGCCTGTTTCATGATTTTTTTTTTTTTTTTTTTAATAATTCTGTTCAAGAGCAATGTCTGTCTTTTCATTGCTTAATTTTCATTTATTGTTACTTTTGTCAGATTCAAGTTATTTCTGTGACCATTGTGGGTTTTTCTTTCATCAACTTACCCACAATTTTGTCCACGTGTGTGTTATATAGATACAGATATATATATCCTAACTGGAGTAAATAGGTGCTTAAAAGATTTTATCTTCTTGGTAAAAAACTAGTTTCTATAAATATGAATGGAATGCTTGTTTTTCCATTAAATCTGTCACTCATAGTCAGACAACTGGAACAAAAAATATTTTTAATATAAAAGTCTTCAGCTTAAAACCACAAAAGAAAAAAAACAGAGTATCTGAACTTTCACTAAGCTTGAACAACAGAAGCTAAGCTGTCAGTGTGGATCATATCTCCGAAGCAGCTTTCTGGACCACAAGCCTTTGATGTTCTCACTGAGTAGAGCACTGGCATGTGTGAAGCTGGGGAGGAATATCATTGGAAATATTCAAATATTTACAGAACAAAGTCTCAATAAAGCTTCATACATCAAAGCCTAAAATTTTCTGTGTACACTGACTATAATGGGTGTGTTGTTTAATATGTTTGTTCAACTTTCAGCCCAACATGAGTGCAAAAATAATAATAAAAAAATAATATAAAACAGCTGCTTTTGTTGCAGTGATGCAGTGAAGCAGTCATAAAAGCACTCTTTAAAATTGTGGAAAAAGAAATCTCTTAAACTAAAAACAGAAAAATCATGAATGTCTATGAGCACTGTCACATCACGTTTCCTCAGTTTAGACATCCTCCAGACACATCTTACAAATCTAGCAGCATATCAGAACAACACGCATCATGAGCAGGTGGGGTGTCAATCAGCATTTCAGCTCTCCTATTCTGACCCCCGTGCTTTGCTGATTGATATGCTATGTGGTCACTGAGCGCTCTAGTCAGAATATGAATCAGTCACTGTAGCCCAGCAACGGACAGCATCATCCTGTTTATTGTTTGTCAGACCAGTCCAGGCTGTTGGAACAAAAGCAAAGTCATTTTTGCACTAATTTCTAGTGCTGGTGGTAACGTAATGTTCAATGTATCATCAATATTGTTATT